ACCTTAACTCTACTGCACACTAACCCATCCAAAAAAAATCACTGACATGGTGTGCTACTGTGATTATTCCTTAATACTTGCATGATGGTTATAGAGCTAAGCTAGAGGAAAATGACCTGTAAATTATACTCTACTGATTAGAAGGAGCATCTTTATAAATATACTACAAGACTGTCAGTTGCCATTTAGGAATAATACCATCTTTCACCTTACTGAAAAACGTTTAGACAGCTGCTGTAAAAACATACAAACCAAATGTCACTGGAAAATTTGAATAGCCTTTGCAGAAGCCCATTAACAACTGCAAAACTTAATTTTACCAGCCATGGTGTGGATATTTGTAAAGATGCCTCTCTCTTCTTGCTTCAGCCAAGCAATTCAATTGAATTTTAAACTGGTGTAAATTGAAGCAGTTTATAAACGTAAGCCAAAGGAAGCTGGAACAGTTTGGGTTTTCTGGTTCCCCTAGTGGGGAATCTCTGTCCCTGATCCTGTTTCTCCCTCTCTTTTGCCAGGACAGCTATTCATACTTGAAACTGATTAAGACTCACCTTTATGTCTGATAGTTTTAATCTGAATCAATTTCATGATCCAATTCATTGTGCAGCATGAACCCTTTCTGCCTGCCCTGTATAAGCAGGGGGACAAGAAGTTGAAAATTAATAGAAGACACTGGAAATGGTTGGATTTTTTTTTTATCAGTGAGGTGAACTTATTCAGGTTAAAACTGCTTGTGGGCAGATCTAGAGGATAAATTAAAATAAGAACATTTGTGGTCTTTTTATGGGCAATATGATGTCCATGTAAGAAGGGATAAGTGATGGAAAGGAGGAATTGTGCAGACTTATTCCTGTAAGTGAGCATGAAACTGTAAATTAGAAAATATATTGTGTGATTCCCAAGGGAAAATGGCCAGTAGTAAAGAATTGATGTGATTGGTTTAACACAATGAGTGTAATACATTAAACTGAACTTGCAATGACAGTAATTTCTAGCTCTTTGCTATTACTTAGCAGAGTAACTGGTAAAACCTGGATCTTTACAGTGTTCTGCCTCACCATCTAATCAGTCATCAGAGGTGGAGAGAAAAGACTTGCTGAAAATTATTACATAATTATAGAAGGGTGTTACATGGCTAAAAGTGGTCTTCTTTTTTCAATAATCTCCAGTAAAGTATGTGTCTGACCATGAAGACTCTCAGCTAGTCCTTTTTGTTGCACTTTACATCTCAAAAAAAGATCTGTAACAGCTGATTTTGTATAGAAAAACATATGGATGAGGCTTTTAAAATGGTATTCTTAGATAGACACTTTATATATTTTTTGAAAAAGAATCCAGCAACTTTTAATTGTTACATTTGTGGGTAATCAAAATAAAAATGGTAGAGTAGTGGTCTGATTAATGCAATAGCCATGATTTTTGTTGTTGTTTTTATTTTTAATCCTATGGTTTTATTTTGAGAGCAAAGATACCCCTGGTCTCTGCCATTAGCAAAAAGGATCTAATGCAAGGCATGCTACTGGTGGGTTTCTATTTTTGCTGTTCAGGAAGTGGTGAATTTTAGTATTGCTGAAATACCCTTATCAAAAAAGTATTATCAGAACATAGCTTGAAATTTAATCAAATTTTAATAAAAAAATTTTGCAAAAACAAACTTGAAATTTAATTACTTGTAAAGGGTTTTTCTTGAAAACTACCATGTCTTGATTTTATTAGTCTCCCTTTTTTTACAGCATTTTTCTTAACATTTGAATTATCAAAGGTGAAGAATTTTCAAATTAAATATCAGATTTTTGTAAGGTTTGGCTTGCTATTTATCACCTTTTCAAAGATTTTCAATTCTGAGGATTAGTAGCTAAAAGCTTATTTGGATAAATAATACTGTAATCAATACAAATAATTTTACAATGTATTTTATATTTGCAATAATGGTTTTTTGTATTACTGCCTCAGAATTTGACTGTAGTGGACATACTTGACATGGGTAGCACCTGTTTAGTTCTCTGTATCTGAGTACTGATTTGAATTTATTAGAAATTATTTTCCTCTTCCCCCAAATCTGTCTCATGAGACATTTGTTTAAGAAGAGACTGCCAGCAGGTAGTCTGAATGAAGCTTAATAGCATAGCTTTGGTATCGTAGAAAACAGATTTTCAAAAATAACTGCACAAACGGAACCAGTTTCACTTTCAACACTCCATGTTTTATGTATGATACTGTCTGAAGAGAAGGTGTGCAGAGTTAAAAGGACTTTTGCCAGGGCTGGGTGTAGCCTTGTCTAACTGATTTCTCTAGCATCCTTCTCTAGTTAATTGCAAAAAGAGTCAGTTCTCCAGAGGCTCAGTTAGAGCAGACTAGCATATCCCATGGAGTAAAAGGAAAATTAGCCTCATGGAGTTAAAACTGGCTTTCTTGAATACTTCTCTAGGTGCCTTGAATCTTCAGAAGTTATACTCATCATCAGATATGCTAAAAGGGAGAAGCAAACACAGAATGCAAGGTAGCAAAATATAATACAGTAATTGTAAAAGCAGAGGCATCTGCTTCCAGGTTAATGGATCTTTTTCCTAAGCAGCATACCTGGCATGCATTTAAGTCCCCAACAGCAATATTTTTTGTTTGATTTGCCCTGGCAAGGAAGCAGAAGCTTAGTCTCCTTGCTGGTTTGTAGGGACAAGATGCACACAAAGGCAGATTGAGAGAACACTAGAACTTCTAGAACACGATAGCATAAAAATCATTGGTGCAACTTTAACATGCCTGCTTTGAGTGTTGCACAGTGACCCTGCAAAATAGACCCTAGGTTCACTTATTGAGGAAATTTGAAGGAGTGTTGTGGATAAGGCAGCGTGTTTTCACTGAAAATTGAAAAGGATTCTGATAAATCCATTTAAATCTTGACCAGTCATCTTGTCTCTTTATTGGAAAATGGTTAATCAGATTCACCAACTTTTTTCTGAAGAAGAAATAAAAAATTAAGTGTTATGTGGCACCCTTCACAAAACCTCCTCATTTCAAAAGCGTAGGATTTAACAAGATTACAAGTAGCTCCTTTGTGAACTATTAGGGCTTCATTAATCATTGGATGGTTCTTCTAGCTCTGCTTAGTGGTATCAGTGAAGTGTTGGCTATTAAACATGATCTCGTTTTTCTCTGGTGCTCAAGCTGTTAAGAGCACTGAGCACGCTCTCAGAATGTAACATTTCTAAGCTGCTCTCCAGCTGACTTTCTTCTGCTGCTACTCTTTGTTTCATTCATGATATGCACGTTGAAAAGCATGTGGGTTTTTCTCACTGATAGAAATTGTAGGAGGAGTTGTCCAAAGAGTGTTTTAGAAAAAGGTCACTGCCCTTGTGAATATTCTGGTTTTTCTTGCTTTCATGTACAGCTACAGTATTTGATACATGTACATTCTGTCAACAAGCGTTGGTGAAACTGGCAGTCCAGAACATGCTTCCTTTTCCCCATCAGTGACATGGAGATGTAACGATGTATTACTTCTGTCTGGCCTTTCCTTGGCAGAGAGTTTAAACTTGTCCATGAACTGTATGGTGTCATAATGATGTCACATGAAGGATTTCTTGGGCCAAGAAAAGACAAAAGACAGTTCTTAGGACAACAGACACTAACTTTCACCAGAAAGCTATTCCTTTTTACACCACAAGTCCCCAGACCTATTCCAAGAAGAAAAAGTTTCTGATTGGAGCTGGACTGCTTCTATTTCCTGATGAAAAATTTTTGCTACTTCACTGGTGCTTTGTTTCTAATAGCAAAATGAGCTAGTATCCCACTGCATTAATGATGGTGTAGCTGAGTATTAGAATAATACTAAGACTGAGAGTGATTCAATGTCCTTAGCTAGAGCTTCTCTGTCCATAAGGTCTGCAGGCTGCGTACTCCATTCCCATGTTCTATGTGACCACCCAGAAGCAGCTTGTGATCTTAAATGCTTTAAAGAGAATGTTTGCATCATGACATTACTGTGTACACGGCTAACATGCAGCACAATGGAACAGGGATTATAATATTTACAACATGTTATTTAAATGTTGCCCTTCTGAGTATTTTCTAAAGCCTCTTAGGTCTTAAGTGACAGTTTTGATTTTTTCAAAGATAAAATTCATTTATCCAGCTAAGTTTGGTAAACAAAAGATGTTTAATACTTCCTTTCATACAGACAGATACTTGTATTTAAGGGTTTATCTTTGTGCACTTAAGCTTATTAGATTCCTGGGTAACTATTTTAAAAATGCTAACTTTGCGAGAGCAGAGGTTGTGTGGAGGTGGGCTTTGGAATTTTCTGTGCTTTGTCAGTGTGGTAAATAGATAATCTCGAAGGGATTGCAATAAGCAGAGCAGTGTGGGTTATGGTATGCAAATGTGACATGGATCGCGAATTCTATTTTGATCAACTAATAGTAGTGAAGATTTTGGGTTGGACTTTATGTGTGAATATATTTGTATATATACTCCTTTTAAAAATTGAATAAAATGAGAAACTGTTCTGTGGCAAAATAAAAAGAAGGAAAATCATTACAAAATTCTGGACATCTATGGGAATTTTCTCTTTAAAGCTTCATGACCATGGCTTTGTACTGTGCTTTGATTCTGATCTGACATTTATTTTTAACTAAGTAGTAGATGCAGGCATTCACAGCATCTAAAAATGCTTCTGAAGGACAACAGAATTGTGATGCAAAGGAGATGACATGGACAGAAAGGTGTTGGGGTTCTTCTAGCATAATTTGGACCTTAGATTTTCACTATGTGTGAGACCTGGAGTGTCATTTTGGGATGTTTTTTCCTGGGGATGCAAGACAGGTAAGAAATGTGTTCAAAATGCTTGTGAGGCAAATTTAAGAATGAAGACTCAGTGTTTTTGTGGCAGTGTTATGGATGGAGAGCTTTGCTGGATATACTATTGCAGGGGATGGATGGGTGGATATTTTGTTTGTGCAGTGTGTTTGTGTTTGCAGTATTTACATTACCTTTGCTTACAGGGGACTGTGGAGGAAGTGATGACTACGACTGCGTACCTGGATCTTTTCTTGCGCAGTGTTTCAGAGCCAGCCCTCCTCAAGATTTTCCTCCACTTTATTTTGCTGCACCAACACGAGAATGTTCATATCCTGGATACACTTACCAGCAGAATCAACACACCATTCCGGGTAAGACAAGCAGAAAGGAAGTCCAGGTACTCAGTATGGATGTAGGTTCAATGTTTAAGTGGGAGATTTCGTATATTACAGTTGTGTACTTGTTTAACTAGCAATTTTCTCCCATTCACTCTTTCAATTTTGTGCATGTGTTTTGACATTTAGCAACCACTATACAAAGCTAATAAACCTGTGAAGTGATTTCACATATGTAGGAAATGGAATAGAGGTAATGAGAGCTTCTGGAAGTCTGAATCTGTTGGAAAATAAAAAGTAAATTTGGAAGCATTTTTATTCTGAACAGTGCTGGATTAGTGCTATCATAGATAACTCTCCCTGGGACTTACAAATATATTTGTGGTGAGGAGCATTTTTGATCTTTGGAGTTTCGCCATGCAACAAGCATTTTCAAATAGTTCATCTGGGGAAACAATGGGACTTCTCTAAGTATGTCTCCAAATGGATCCCAGTTGTCAACTGCGATCTCACTGATGTATTTCTCAGGAATCTGTATTCTGTATTACTGTAGCAGATTTACTTAACTAAGAAGTTGCCTACTTTATTTGATTAAAAGAACACACTTTCTTGCTCAAGTGATGAGGTTACTGCTTCCTTCTCTTTGCTTTCACGACCTTGTGTGATAAGGTTTATCTCAGTTTTGTGCTGAGCCCCTTCTCAGCCTAGGCACAGTGCAGCACGGTGGCTGGAGAGCTGCCTGCCAGAGAGAGTACCTTTGTACCTTTGCCAACAGTTGAATCTTCTGGATGACGGAATGACTACTTGTCACACTGGAAGACTTGAGTGAGCCTTGCTTGACTGGCAGCCTTGGCTGACTCTTGGGTGATGCAGAGCTTCATGGATGAAATCAACAATACTGTTTTAGTGCAAGAGAAGCCAGAACACCAGCATGCACATTAAATTTGTGTATTAGGTAGTAGCTTCATCTGAAAATTGTTTTGAAATATACGTGCATGCACATATCAATATATGCTGCTGTTAGTGCATCTCTAAGATGAATTAACTCTGAAACTTGGAACAGTTCTGTCAACAAAAATGCAAATGCTGTTGTCTCTGCTAGTCATTAATTACTGTTCCACAGGCAAACAAGGTGGGAATTGTAAAGAATTCTGCAGCCCTGAACAACTCAGGATCTCAGCCGAAGTGATTCTGTCTGTGATACTAAAGGAGTTTTCTGCCAAGTAGCTCAGCCAAGTGCAAACATAGCAGAAAAGCAGTGTATATTACTATTGATGAAAATACTGATTAATAATTCACAGAGTTATACTTATTTAGAGACAGGTGCCTGAAAGGACTTGTAGAAATACTACCCTCTTTTTTCTTGAGTGTATTTTAAATGTTATCTTTTCACACAGTACATACAATATTTAAGACTGCTTTTTTTAAAAATAGCTTATTTGAAGGAAAATTCTGTTTGTATTTTGTTAAAATGTAACATTACATGTACAGCTTTAGACAACTTGAAAAAAGAAATCTCATGGGGTGCTGACTGAATGAAATACCATTCTAAAAGTGTCTTAAAAATCATGGTGTTCTGGCAGAGCCTTTTTGTAATGTAGTATGCAGGAAGATTGGAAAGATACAATTTCCAGATCAAAAGCTGACAATGTTTATAATTTTCCAGCTCTGTGTGGTCTCCTTGGCATTGTTCAGAACGCTCATTGGCTTGCATTGTGAAGATGTGATGTTACAGCTAGTTTTAAGGTAAAGCCAAAATTCTTTTTCCCATTCTTCTTCCTAACTCTGCAACGTATGGTCTCTGTCTGTGGATGCAGAGCTGGGTGAGAGTTCTCCAAGAGAGCAGAAATCCAAGTAGCTACAGAGATAAGAATATTTATGGTCCTGACAAAAGTCAACCAGACCTGATGAAGTTTGATTCACATCCTGAGATCTCCAGAGCAAGAGATTTTTCTTGTGATTTATTTCTAGAAAAGTGAGAGAAGCTAAGAATATATTTATGACCTCCAAAGTCCATTTTCCCTGCTTCTAAATGCATAATTCTTCCCTTCTGCATGTTTTCCCTAGTGCATTATGCAATGTGATACGGACCTATCTGCTGTTTGCAGCTTCCACCCTTTTTGTTATTTTTTACCTCTTTGATTCCTCACTCAATGAGAATACTTCAGGTTCCTGCACTATTGTAGGTAGATTAAGTGATGTACTAAATGCAGTGATAATTTTTGTTCTTAATTTGTGATTCTATTTTGCTTCAAAATACTTATAATTTGGGTATGTTTATTAGATGAGAACTGGTTATGTATTTGGAAATACTGGTGTAATTGACTTGAGCTTTTAGCATGGCGGATCTCATGAATATTCCAGATACTGTCTGTCCCTCCACACACAGGCATTAAGGTGAAATTCTCTATAGATCTGGCAGTGGTGTCTGGCAATAGTGCTAGGACCTCTGTCAACACAAGTACGTCACCAGTCTAGCATTAGAGTGCTGTGGTTGATATTTCTGTTTATTTAGGGAATCCTTTAGAATTTATTTGCATTTTAAATGGCGGATTATTGGTGCAGTTAACACTGAGACTCTTACGGAAGTGCTTTTAAAAACTATAACAAAAGTGCTCTGAAGAAGTTCAACATGAGACTTCTTTCTCTGTTCCTTAATTTCTTCCCTCCTCTGCCTAAGAGCTCAGTCTTGATCTACTGCAGTAAAACTCTTGGATGACCCTTCCCTCCTCTTTTTTCTGGCTGTTTGCCTGACAAACTGCCTCTCTCTGGATTTCCCTGGAAACCAAATAAATTGAGGATTCTGAGACAGAATGCATTGATAGTCAGACCAAACCATTCTTCTGGCCTTTGACATCTGTCAATCCCACATTCCCTCCATACTTTCTTACAACAATTTTGCTCTGATGTGCAAAGGATTCCCTGTTCTGATGCTCATGTCTCCTATCTCTACTCATCTGGAAAGCTCCTCATTAAACCAAGTATCATAATATAGAGAGTCATGGTTTCATGCTCTTGTGTTTTAGAAAATGGATCACTATAAATATTATTATTGCTGGTTTTTTTTCATCTGAGAAGACAGGGAGGTGGGAAGGGAATTCTGTGTGTTGTTGCTTTCTCTAACGTGAAAGGATGATAAGTGATGCTGGGCACTGCTGTTTCAGGTATCTGATCCCATGCAACCACATGATGCTGAGCCAGCGGCGAGCTGTGAAAGAGAGAGACTGTTACTCTGTATCTGCTGCAAAACTGCTGGCCCTGACCCCTCTGTGCTGTTCCACCGGAATCACTTTGACACTTGATAGCCAAGGAAAAAACTATATTCTCTGGACAAAACCAGCACAAACTAAAGGTGCTCTGGGGAAGACCAAGTCATTAACTGAGTTTGATCTTGTAGCACCTTATGGAAGGAATTGGAAAAGAATAGAAGGGGAAGGAAATGTGGTGGGAAACAATAAACTGGGCAAGCTGGGACTAGAAAGTTTGTTTAAATCCTTCCATATGTCCAGGTCTATCGAAACCTAATTTTAACAGCTATCCAGCTTGAATACTCATTCATGACAGTAGTGTACTGTACAGCAACTCTGGCTGCTTCAGAGTGGTTGCTGCATTAGGATTTGAATGCAGGCTGCTCTCAGAGAAATCTTGAGTTACAGCTCTGTCCTTGTGATATCAAAAAGTCGTGTGTTTATGAGCAAATCTCAGTTGTTGTGCTTTGTTCTTTCTGCCTTATTGGATAGTTAGGGTTAAAGACTCTCCCTGTAATGTCTTAGTGGGTGCCTTGCTGGAGAAAATTTGATATACTACTCTTGATATGTGTCGTCTTCTTTACTTCCAGATACTGGTAGGTGCTCTTCTGAATCTGCTTGCATTGTGGAATATGGAAGGGCTGTGGACATCAGCTACTTGCAGTACCTGGGGGAAGCTCAAGAAGCCATCATGCAGTGCATGAAAGACTGTGAGGTTTGGTCTGCCTTGTATGATGGAGTAAATCCTGATCCAGACACCTTTATCCGGACGCTTGCCGAGGAGAGCACTACAGATGTGGAACACCCCATGTTTCGGCTCCAGCAAAGGACACTTAGTATATGTAGCTCTGTGCAAGCAACTCGGTTCAATGAGAAGATGCAGCTGGAGCTAGAATGGGATGATAGCTATGACACAGGGATTTCTCCTGGTTCTAATATGAGCTCACCACAACCGTATGATGATCTGGGAAGCACAGAAATGCAGCCACCTGCAGAGCCGCCAAAACACATTCAAGAAATGAAAAAAAATGCCATTATGGTTATCAAAGGCTCTTACATAGAGGAGTCAGACTTTCAGGATGATGTTATAGTTTACAGGTTATGTGCCCAGAGGGATACTCAAGATGATGACAGCTCCAAGGAGAAATCTTTAAATGTACCCAGAGAAGACAAGGTGCAGAGCCAGACTATAGTCAATGGGTCTTTTGCAAAGACCCGTCTGGAAATGGACTTGGCTGAGCACAGTAAGAGAAATTCAAGCTCAGCTAAAGATGTAATTAGAGAACAGATAAACCAGAAAATGACTGAGATTGATCCACAGCCATACTTAAAGATTTCTTCTCAGGAGGCAGATTGTAACTTAAATGTAAAACTGCTGAGCACAGATAGTGAGGATTTCATTGCACAGTATGACAGAATTATTAAGGAACTGGATCTAAACAGTGTAAACTTGGAGGAGCAGAAGCTGGATGCTCCTGATCTTGTCCCTCCAGCAGAAAAAGAGGAGGACTTCGAGAATTTCTCAGCAGATACCTCTTCTTCAGAGAGCATATCATCTCCCTTTGGACCAAAGGAGGATGTCTCTCCAAAGCACTCTCCAAGGAGCCAGAGTGCACCATTTACAGGTGGAATGTCCTGTTAATTACATGAATAACAAATCTAAGAAGGCATGGTGATTAATAGTGGCCAAATGAGATCACACTGTGTGGCACACAATACAAGCATAGAGCAAGGAAGAGTCCTGGCACTAAATAGGGTATAGCTTAAATAGCTGAAACCACTCCAAGGAGAGTGAGAGATACAGTGTGAAAATACAGCAGAATCATCAGTGTGGTGAAAGCAAATGGTAGAGTTTTGGGGGATTTTTTCTTGGTAATTGTTTAAAACATTGAGCAGGGGTTATGTTGTTTGTTATGGGAGAGCTCTGTCATGCCAGAGGAAGCTTTTTCAGTTGAAAGGTGTTCTGAGTAGCTGTTTTAATATACAGAGCCTGGGTAAATAATTTGTTTTTCTGGCAACTTTAATCTCGGATGGGATGGAGGCAACATCACAGTACCATTTTTCCTCTCTCTGCTATTCCATATTGTAGCAGAAGGTGTCAGCAGTGGTGCCATGTCTGTATGTGCCTGTCTCTCTGCTCTGGCCTGGCATCCTGTTCTCCAGTGTCAGGTCTGTCCTCACTGTTGGCATGCTTCTCTGTCTACTGCCAGGCAGCAATTTAAGACTGCTATCTGCTGACTGTGCAAGCTATTCAGGAATGACATTACTAGGTCAGAGTGGACTTTTGATTTGTATTTGTGCAGATCCTTGCACTGCAGGCTCCTGGTCTTTAATTAGGTCTCCTAGATACCACAGTAATGCAAATATATTAAAAAAAATCAAGTACTAGGTTTCTTCACTCAACATAAAACCTCTGTAAGATGGCTTCTCATTCATTTGGAGTGGGAAAATGTGTATTCATTGAAAAGCAGCCCTTTCCGGACAGCTGTGGACAGAATCCTTGGCAGTGTTTCTTAATTGAAAAATCCAGTTTGTTTTTCAACTAATTTGCTATTTTTGCTGTGGTGGCAATTTCCTTGTACCAGAAGCTAATTGTATCCAAATCTCTTTTTTTCATTATCTGCTGTCAAATATAGCTCAAAAATGTTCTCTCTCATTCTTCATCTAGTCCCTCTCTCCATTTGTTAATTTTCAAAAGTCCACCCCTCACCCCAACCCACAAAAACCTCAAAACTGAGGAAAATTAAGATAAAAAGCTAAAAACAGTAAGCCTAGATATTTACTACCATTTACAGTGTGTTTTACTCTCAGATGTCAGCCATGTGCAAGGTGAGGGGAGCTGGAATGATGTTGGCTTATGGCCACCTGCTTCACCCTAGAAATGCCCATGGCATGCATCTTTTGCCAGGTTTGAGGGTGGAATAATCAAAGATAGCAGTGCTAATCATCCAGGGATTCTTCTGCATGGTTTTCCTAGCTCTTATGCAACTGGAATAGTGTGGTGGGACTGTGGGTGGAGCAAGGGACATTTCTAAGACTTTACTTGTGAGTAGGTCCCTTGTACTGGCTGCCTCAGGCATCTCCCCAGCTGTGTGGTCTAACAGGATAATATTTGAGTGAAGTCATTCTCATCATTGCAAAGGTTTCTTAAGCTTGAGCACTAAGGGTTTATGTACTTCATGGTAAATGCTTCTGAATTTCATTGGCTGTCCTTCAGCATGAATACACAGACTGAAGCTGTTATTTATTGGTGACATTCATATGATAATGCCTATGTCTGTCTACAGCAGTTATGCCTATAAATCTATTTTAATGTCTTCCCTGCTTTGTGTGACTGTTTGGTGTACTGAAGATACCTTTTCTTGTGATGGGAACTATCACAGTTTGATTTTTATGTTTAGAATAGCATTTTCATATTTTCTTCAGAACATTAGTTTTTTGATAGAACAAGAAAGCTAGCAATAATTCACTTTGCCCAATCCTTACATAGAAATAAGGCACAGGAAGAGTAAAAAGAGCAGATTCTATTTGCATTAAAACTAGTAGTACCCTTCCAATTTATTCAAAGGGAATAGAGTGGTAGACTGTAATGTCCTAGGATAAATCTGTATTGGTACATGCAAGTGGAATAGTCATGCATGTTAAGTATGCCATTAATGTAAACTGATTGGCTACGTAGCAAATGTGCTGCTAACCACAAAAGCTTTCAACACCTCTGTTAAGTCTGCTTTCTCTGTTCAGCTACAGTTTGGGTTTTCTCCCTGCTGTCTTTAAGTAGTGTGTGGGAGGGCTAATTTGCTTGGTTATGATGATCAAAATTTCCTTTAAATGCCTTTTTCCTGGATCTTAAGGCTTTTCCTCTGTGAAAACAAAAGCATTGATTCCTTCTTATTTTCTTGCAGGACCATTCATCAGCGTAGTATTGTCGAAGCTGGAGAACATGCTGGAAAATTCCTTGCATGTAAATTTGCTGCTTATTGGAATTATTACTCAACTGGCAAGTTATCCACAGCCACTTCTTCGCTCCTTTCTGCTCAACACCAACATGGTGTTTCAGCCTAGTGTGCGCTCACTCTATCAGGTATTTACCACAGGTGTTAGCCTTACCTACTGGAGCAGTGTCTTTCGTATCGCTTTAGACCTTACATTAGCTCCTTTCAGTTTCACATGTAGCTTTCCTACCTGTCTGAGAGCTTCTTATTTCATTTCCATGTTTTAATTACATTTGTGCAAAGAACTGGAAACTCTGTTTAACCATAGGTTTTGTCAGAACTCTATTTTAATGCAGGTAGAGAAAGCCTGAATATTCAGTCTCTGGCTGCACTGGGAGCAAAGCAGAAAGAAGTAATTGTTACTGTTGTTTTGGTAGGTGCTGGCATCTGTGAAAAATAAGATTGAACATTTTGCTTCCATTGAAAAAGACTTCCCAGGTCTTCTCCTGGAGGCTCAACAGTACTTGCTTTTTCGTGTAGACATGTCTGATGCTGCAGAAGAATTGCTCACCAAAGGTAAATGATAACCACGCTCAGGAGGGCTGGGTGGAATGACTTGCCAGTTACCCCTGTCCTTTTTTCCAGATGATTAAAAGGTGTGGTGTATTGTGAATGTCATTAGCTAGCTGTATCCTTCTGACTTTAAAGTGATGATGCTCAGTAGACCACAGTGTATGTATATCTAGTTGGATATTCTGTGCTGTTTAGAAATTTTTATTTGGTATATAGAACGTCTGTATAAAGAAGTAACAAAATCAGTTTTTGGCTTGCTGTCAGTAAACAAACTCACTTTCAAAGCATGAGGTGAGATGGCATATGTGTATGATTTCATTTTATTTTTAGCCTGACCTTCAGCTAGTCATTGGTTCTTTTTTGATAAATGTTAGAGAGGACAGAAGTCCAGGATGAATTGGTTTCTACAACAGTTGAATAAGGCTTGGTATTATGGTTTGGGCTACCACTGAAGGAGATAAGACTCTGAAAGTTTTCTGGCTAGTATCTTTCTTGTATGACAAAAAAAGCAAAGCAAACAGAAAAAAAAAAAAAAAAAAGGTGTGTTTCTAAGAGCAGTGGGGAATTAGACAGGTATCATCCCACCAGCCCAGCTTTGCAGGGGACTCTGTAACATCTGCTGCCTCTCAAGCACAGTGCACACTGCACCTGTCTTTACAGTTACCTGTACTTATTTGTACCACTATGGGGAAAGCTAGTAAAAAGAAATAAAATAAAGTCTTAGCTGCCAAATAAGAACCTTCCAGACACGGCAGGCAACGGGTAGAGCTGAAGCCCTGCCCTGAAGATGTTCTTGTTCTCAGCTTGCTGCTGAGTGGGCAATGTTGGATGCAGGCTTCTCTTTAAAGCCAATTTGCCACAAGATGACAATGTGTCAAATTTGGTGAGTCATGAAGAGCTGACTCTGCAAGAGAGTTCAAGAGAGGCTGCATGTACACGTGTGTGCTTACTCGTCTTTGAGAGTCATTAATAATCACCCACTCGGTCCACACTTCTGTGAAGATGTTGAGGCTTTTCTTAGCTTTCCAGAGGTGTGGAAATCAGGACTCTTTATATGCCATTTCCATTGTGTTTTCATTTTCAAGGCTCTGAAGAATAATATACCTAGTTTGTAGTCAGCATAGTATGTGTTTCTAAGGTTTGCAGTACATCTAGTCTGTGAAACTATGGTCTTGCTAAGGCTGCTTCCTGTAGCTGTTGGTTAGGGTATTTAACCCTTTAGATGCGGCGGAAATAAGACACACAGCTACATGGTCCCTCTCAGGATAGGAAAGAGAGACTTTATTCAGAAACACACTTTAAGTAGAACAACTCACAACTCCAAGGACAGAATAGAGATGATTGGTCCAGAGAAATTGACACCTCTTTCCCAGGCCTGGTCGTGCACCAAAACACGTGCTAATCTAATGTTAATTCAATTCTATTTTAACCCAGTTATCATCCTGGGAGAAAATCTCCCTAACTGAAGCTGAATATGCTATCAGCCTGGGAACAGAGCTGAGAGAGCAGGAGAAGCTCCAGCCTGAGAGTGGTTTTCCAGGCTGTAATTTTCCTAGCTCTCTAACAATGTGTCCACAGATCCCCCTTCCAAAGTATATTAAAAAAGGAAGAAACAAGTATTTGTGCTCCCCAGCAAGGCCATGCCAGGAAGAAAAAATACAACCCATAAAACCTGTGGATACTTGAGTGCCAAGGGCTTGGTGTCTTTTCTCTGCAGGAATCCCATTGGCAGGTTAAGTATTCTTAATACAACAGCAGAAAATTCACCACTAAGTGAATTAGTATACTAATACAATCCTGAAAATTGCAACCATTCACCAAAACACATGTCAACAGTTCAATGAACAGATGAATGTCCGTTCCCCACATGCAGAGGGATCATCCTGTCGGTGTTTGGTATGTTGGCCAGCATGCAAGCTGAACAGAGACCACATTCTGCTTCTGCTGCTACAGGACAGGGTGGACAGCACTGCAGGTCACCAGCAACGATCTCTGCGTGAGACAGGCATGTCTCGTCTGAAACCTGCAACAAGGCAATATGATTCACAAGAACAGGATTATTTAGATCTCTTTTTTCTCTTTTTCCAATTTCCCTGTTCTGCCTTGGAGACCGCAACAGAATATCGCTGTTCTGCATTTGAGACAGCAACCGAGATAGGGAAAGCCTGAGCTGCTTCCCAAAGAATTGGTCTGTGGAAGGTGTCTGCTCTAAAAAAGCTGTGTACTGCACATGTCGGTAGCATTTTAGGCTCTGCATTTTGGTGCCATAGAATAGAAAGCTTTACAATTAGATGGCATTGTAGCTAGCCTGTGGGAGATGAGATTAGTAGGCAACATTCAGAGGTTTTTTTCTCAGGTGCTGGCAATAAGAACTTTTATATAATGCATTCCCAATGACATTTTTTATACTTCCTATATTATGTCAGTTTTCTTCTGTGGGCTTCAGAATTTGCCAGATTGACTCATGCTGGTCATTATTCAGGAATTTGAAACAAGGCTGCTTGGTCACCCTGTTAGTACACTTTTTTCTGTATAGTGGTAACTCCTGCGAAGAAGGCTTGTCTTGACAAATAGGTGAAGAGTAAGTAAATGTCTGGATAACTGCAGACTTGGTTCCCTGCAGGACTGGTGATGCAAGTCATCAAACTGTAATCCTGGCAGAGAGTTGGCTCAGTAGCCCATCAACCAGTAGTTCATTATATTGATTAAGAAGTGCAAGGTAGGAACTGCTACAATAATGGTAAATGAAGAAACAAACAAACAAACAAAACCAAACAACAGGTTAGGAACTCCCCATGGACTTCTTTGCATTAGCTTGAACACCACCTCTGACTATCAGACATACTGGTTGCTCTCTGAGGGATTTTTCTCTGCAGGTCTGAGCATAGCCAGCTTCCTACAGAATTCACATATAGAAATCTGAAGCCAGAGTTAGTAGGGAAGACAAATGTAAAACCAAAACATTATAGAGCATTTTCTCTCTTTTTACAGGGTTGGTCTCTGAAAGTATTTGAACAGAAATGGTTTGTTCTTTTTTGCTTAGAGTAGTGTGTGGTTTCTTCCACAGCAGCTTGGGCTCTGGTTACATATCTAGAGCTGTCACAGTGTAGTTTCATGTGCAAGTTTCCTCTCTTTCAGTGTGTTGGTAACAATCTTCAGACTACTCATTTACTCAGTTTTCAATTGTATGACTCAGATTGCATCCTGGCCCTAGAGAGACGTGAACAATCCTGATCAAAGCAAAAAAAGCCAAATCTCTAGTTCCTAGATCAGCTTTCTGTGCTTATCTGGTATTTTGGGGTGTTTTTTTCCAAATAAGCAGTTGAAGCTTAACCAAAATTATTTTTAGATATGTATCTATTTTAATTCTTTTTGAAAGGAAGAGTATAAACAAAAGCACAGCTTTGGCAGTATACTAGCATTCTGGTTATATTGCCTAAACTTCTTAAAAAACTTAAAATATTAGTAATGAAACATTTTGACATTAGAAAATCTGACAAAAAATCTTCAGGGGAAGCTTAAAACTTTATCTTTTCATTGTAATCTATAATTCGGTTTGTTTTTCCCTCACGGTCAGATTTTCCCGCATAATAGAAATTCCTGTGCTCTCTTTGTAGTAGGTAGAAATTAGGAGAATAACAACATGAATGATTGATAAATCTGGAATTGGAAAGTGTTTTAAACTCAAGAAAAGTACAACTCTGTTAAACGATTGAGATGTGTTTGGAAGTGTTTGGAAGAGTAGAGTAATTCCACAGTGCCTAAGGTGAAGTACAGACAAGGAACAAAAGTGCAGAGCTGTTGAACAGAGGGATTGCTGTGCAGCACTGAGTGAGGCCTTCATCTACAGCTCTGCCTGTTCACTACTTGGAGGGGTTTCAGAGCAAGGCTGACATCACTTGAGCCTTTTACTTAAACATAAACTGTGTGCACTGTAAGGGAAGCCCCTTCTGAAGGCAGCAATGCAATGTTGGGCTTGTCTGCAGTATGTGAGTTAACAGCCCTTTTATTTCTTTGTAATGATTTATTATACATCTCAGGAGAACATCCCACTTGTAAATTAGACAGGATTTTCTCTGTCTCCACTGTTGGCCTCAATACCTTGTAGCAGTGAGTTCTACAGGTTAATTTTTCTTTGTAGTGTATTTATTTCCATCAGCATTAAATTTTGCCACCTTTTTAATTTCACTAAATTAATTATCATCTAATTAAAGGGCAGTTCTGCTTCAGGTTGAAACAAGGAGCAATTGATTGAAATTTAAGTGCTGCTGTCACTGTAATTCTATGCATTTGAGCTCTGATACTCTGAACTCTGGCAGCAGAGATCATATAGCAGAACACACAGTGGCTTTCACTTGCTCTCTTTTTAATGGTTAGTTGCTTTACAGGAAAGTGAGTATAGTTAGTGGGGCCTATAGCTGCAGAAAAATCCAATTTTTTTTCCTTTAGTTTCTAACTTGATTCAAACTCGTGGTGATGTGATAGCTCGGCCTTGAACCCATTGACATGGTGATTCACAGGGAGAGGATAAAGAGCAGTAAAATCAAAACAACAGTTTGATGGGGGAGGGATAGAGCATAATATTATTGAAATGGAGACAACCATGCTGGCTGTAGATGGGTAGATATTATCTGCTATTTCAGAAGGTAAATCCATATTACTCTTTCCCTTGACTCCTCTTCTGCCCACCTATTTCTCTCATCAGAGCTGGAACTGAATGATATATAACCTGGGGAAAGATAGGTAATAAAAAATGCAATAGAACCAGGCCACATAGAACTTTAAAATGCTGGATTAGTGGAGTATCACCTTGCACAATCTGGGTACTGCAAATTACAGCTCTGAACACAATCCTTATAAACCAGATTTGGACACTGTACAAATACTCTGTGTGCTTAATATACAGAGCCTTTTTTCTTTCCTCTCCCTCTCCTCCTGTCTTTAGGTAATGTCCAGCACAGCAGCAACACAGGGAAAGGAAAGAATCTTCCCGAAACTCAGCCTGCTGTACTGCAGCCTTTCCTGGGACAGAAAGGAAAGAAAGGCCTCGCTCATCCCAGCCTTCCTGCGCACGTGAGGAACACTGTGCTTGCAGCTGCCCTTTTCCCAGAGTTCCTGAAGGAGCTGGCAGCTCTAGCCCAGGAACATTCCATTTTAGATTACAAAATATTGGGGGATTTTGAAGATTATTAGTGGCTTTTAAAAATGTGTTTTAAAAAAGCTTTTGGAGTTGGAGTTTAATTTTTAATGCAAAGCTGCTTTCAAACGAAGTTTGTACCTCAATATTTCCTGAAAATACTTGATTTGGAGGGGGAAGAAGGAAGCAAAATATTATTCCAGTTAGGCCTTATAATTTTCCTCTGTGCTACATAACTTATTTGAGGTTTCTGATAGTGCTCATACTGCAACTTCCTTCTTCATCCCTTCCTCTTTACAGAGCCACCCTTCTTCAGTGTCACTAATTCCTGTTGAATTTCTACAAGAGCCACTTGTTGGCTGGCTAAGAGACACAAACACATTAGCTTTTTCTGTTCCAGAAATACTCTCCTGAATAACTTGTTAGGAGACAAGTTTGCTTGAAAAAACATTGCCCCATTGGAAAAGTTCACAGTATAAAAAGACATGCAAAATCTGCACAAAACCCCTTTATGTGAAGGGCTGTGCTTCTTGATGTCACTGTCCTCTTTTACTCTTCCATTGCTTCACCCTGAAGCCAAGTTCGCACCAATCCACATCCAAAACACCTGGCTATAACTACTGGCTCAAGTTTTATGAATTCAAGTGATCTTACGTGTAGTAAACCCATGTGTAGCTGAAAGCAGGTGCTGGGCCCTGCACATACCATATTGCCTTATGTTGCAGACAGATCTGCGCCTATCAGCTGTTGGGCTTTGAAGTCCAATGAAGTGTCCAATGTAAGTGGATGTGGATTGCAGACTGCCTGGAATTTTCCTTGCGGTTCCTCAGCATTCCTCAATACTTCTTGCATTGCTACCTAAGCCCATAAGCATGCCTTATTTAGTAAGATTTGCACAAAGTACAAAACAAAATGTTTCTATGCAAGCTGTTATTAGTGTCCAGTTTATTTGTATGCTTGTTATAATAAGCTAAAGAAAGATACTCAGTATCTTTCTGTAGTGTTAAATGGACAGCAGACTGTTAAATTCTTTGTCTATTTTTTATTAAACAAAAAATGTTGGCTTGCTCATGAAAGGTGTACTGTTTTACTGTTAATTTATTTTGGTTAAGGGAAGTTAGGTACTGTGTGTTTACTTTTAATTTAGGTGTTGACTTTTCCTAAGATTGCACTTCTGGAATGGTGAGGGAAGGACCAGGCTATTCACCAGCTGCAGAAAAGGAAGGAGTAATGGGGAAAGCTGTCTGCTGGTGACTAACTGCTTGAGAAAATTCTCTTGTGTGAGTAATGGGCTTCATTAGAAGAACCCAAACATGATGAATTGGTGCGTCACCACTGCATTTTGTCTTATCTTAGCTGCATAATTGTGCTTCCAGTGTGTTCTAGCTCACTACATAAAGAAGGGCCTAATTCAAGAAAGACATAAAACCTTTTGTCCAGGATAAAAACTAACAGTGACTCCAAAAAATGTGAAGAAATAGAAATCAGAAATAACACTTCCATACATTAGTTCTCATGTTCATTGTAATTCCATTATGTGGAATTCCAGTTAATCACATCCTGATTTTGAAACACACTTTCTCAGAGATTTCAAGGAAAAAAACAGTTCAAAAACAAAAACCTAAGATGCTCCAGAACAGTCTAATTAATTGTAGGTCAAGCTCCTCTGGAGTATGCAGTGCATTTTAAGCTCCTGAATCCTTTAGATAATTCTGAAAAGTTCTGCCTTTAATTTACAAGGTATAGATTAAAGTGTCTGCATTTATTGTGTCAGCCTGCTGTAGGCTATTCTAAAAAAAAGACAAAAAAAAATCCCAAAGTCTACCTCCAACAAAATCACCACCAGAACTTCTCTGGGTCCATCTTTACTTGTTTGCTGCACAGTCTTCACTTCCATGATGGCTGGGAGTCCTGTTGCCTCCTAACTGACTCTCTCTGGTTTGCTTTCATTTGTGACTTTAGTTTTTCAGGTGTCACTGCATCACCATTCTGTAAATCACCTACTGACCTCCACATCTTTTACCTCACCAGCTTTTTTGGAAGCTGAAGCCAAAGCTGTGGAGTTTTTCCTTAAGTATTATTTATCCAGGTCGAAGAGAGCTCTTTCTTCTTCATTCCCCCCACTCCTGCATAGTTGTAAATGGGTAATGAGATTGATGGATTTCTTTTTTTAAAAAAAAAAAATTTAAACTTGTCCTGGGGCACTATGGGTCCTTTCTCCACTCCCGCATTTCTGCTGCTTTCCATGCTGTACTCACAGGCTTGGCCTGAGGGGGTTCAGTATTTGTGTTGGAAGTGTTTTAGCATTATGGTTGTAGGGTCAGTGCTTGCTCTGCTTCTCATCTCTTCTGCAAGAGCTGTATGTGAGCCAAAGGAAAGTTTGATCAGCTGACTTTCAGTGGTTCAGAAACATGTGCTAAAATGCAGAAGGAATCTAATAATTTTTGAGGACTTTTTAAAAAGGAATTAGAAATATTATTTCACTTTTTAAAAATAAAGAACTCTGCAGACCAGCACTCAATGGAGTAAATTACTACTTGAACACTCCCTTCCCTGTTTGTATTCTAAACTAAGAATCCTTATTTGCTAGGTAGAAGGGATTTCTTTTGAGATTGTTAATTTTAACTGGTGTTTTCAACAAATGTACAAAATCACTGCAGTTTGATCCCAGTAGGTCTGTTAAGCTACATGAGGATTTTAAAATGTGGACTGCTCATAAAAGCGTATGTAAATTTGAGGAAGGAGAGGATTTTCTTCATAAGTTTTAGTAGAGTTTATGTTCTACATCCAGTAGGATAAAGTCAGCCAATCTGGAGTTGTGTTGAAGGCTTCTTGCTGAAAGATCAGAGCTGTGTTTGTGTACAGTGTCCCCTCACAAACAGGAACTGTCTGTCAGCTCCCCAAAAGGAAGAGGTGAATGAGTGCAGTGCCCTGGCTTAGAAGTTAAAATGCAGATCATATATGTACCTTTGCATTGCTTGTGGGATCAGACTTGCAGTTGTGTCTCAGATGTAATAGCAGTATAATGTCTGGCAGCTAGCACAAAAAGCTATTGGTGGGAATTGCTTCTTCCTGTCTTCAAAATGCAGAACCTGTGATTTAGCTTGAAAATGCTGATCTTTTGAGACTGTCTGTGTGCAGCTCTTCAGCCAAATGCTTCTCTAATAAGCTTCTTCCCTCCAGTTAGATAATGTGTAATCCTGCCTCTCAAAAGATACATCCTTTCCCAAAAAAACCCTGTGCGTGTGGTCCAAGCTGTGGCCCTGTATGTAGGTCCCTGGAGGACAACAGCCTTATGCTGCTCTTTCCAAGAACAAGGAAGTGCTTTGTGATCTGGTTTTCTCCACACTCAGGTGGATGTGCGACTGGAGCAGTCCCTCTTTAGTACATTGGCTCAGCATCAGTCGCAAATGAAGTGCCTTGGCAGATCTATTCCAAAGACTGCAAGCGGTGGCTCAGTGATACCAAAGTGAATTTCCAGTCTCCTACTAGATATTTCAAACTGTGAATGCCACATTTCCAATTATGTAGCCTTGGAGTGTGTTTTTAAACTATTCTGCTATAGCCAGGAATCTTTCCAGCATTTTCAACATGTGTATTTTTTGTTTGGGTTTTGTTTGTTTTGTTTTTGCAACCTACCTATTAAGTGAGCACTTTTTCTTCAAAAATTTGTAGTCATTCTCTTTTACCTTTGGCCATTTTTGGATGCTTTCTGGGTTAGTCTCTGTAAACACACATGTTTTTTACTAATTGGACTAAAGCACTCAGTGTGCTTTTACACTTGTGCTGATCTTTGTACATGAATAGTTAGGTGCAGTTCATGTGTTGCTGGCTGTGCTTACTGCCTTTATTATTGTATTCTCGGCATTTTTCTTAAATTTGATCTTTTCCATGTGTGCCCTAAAGAATATTGTGATATTTCAAATGAGATCAAGTTGTTCGTGTTGCAGTTCTGGGTGTAAAAAATGTATTGTCGTTTTTTGTCCAACTTCTGACCTTGGTTTGGAAAAACAGAAAAGAGAACTTCTATTTTCAGCTATATTCCATAGAGATGAGAAAATTCCAGTATCAAGCATGGACTCTCCCTCCCACCAGCAGGCCCAGGTACATGCTTCCAAGCATCCAGTTGATAATTACTTGTTTCCTCTTTCTCTGGGGTGCACAAGGTCTGAATTCAGTGGTGTCATGCTGTAGTACAGAGCACTTGCCTTTCAGGTGTGATTTGGTATTTTTAGTAATATTGGTAAATTTCCTAGGATGGGAGAAAACAAAGTGCGATTGAGGTGGACCTTGGATATCAGCAGGAGGCCATGCTTTGGAATGGGAACAGGACTGGATAGACAGGAAGCCTGAGCAGCATTCCTGCCACCAATGCCGCTCTTTGGCCTGTGCACAAAGCCCAAGTGGTGTATTCAGTCCTTCAGAGAAAAACATTTGCAAGCTTGCAGCATCCTACAGAGTCCAAGGGTTTAAGTTCAAGAGGTTAAGTTCTATTTACCAAGAGAAGTTCACCATCCAGCACAGTGTACACACTCACTACCTTTTTGTGCACTCTACTTAAGCTTCTCAGAAGGTTTCGTGCTTCAGGAAGGTTTTCTAGCTCTCCTAAAATGCTCTAAAATCTCAGGGTTGAAAAGAAAAGGATAGAAGCAGTGTGATTTGTTGAGTTTAATTATGTCATTGTATCATTCGAATTTGTAGGCACAGCTCCTGTTTGAGGATGGCTTGATTTAATAAGCAATTTACTCTGCTGTATTTACTGAAATTGCTATGTCATGCCTGCAGCTCTTAAGACAGCTCCCATTACATTCGTAACATTTAAATTGCATCTGTGTTTATGAGTAAAATATTGGGATTTTCCTCTTCTCTTTTAACTCAGATACCTCTGGCACTGTACAGTAACGATACTGCTGTGTCCAGATCCGATTTAGATAATTACAGTATGTTCCTCCTTGAGCTTTTTGAGCTTTATCAGCAGAAATGGAGGATGCATGGCACTTAGGCTGCTTACATTAATGAGCAAACCAAAGGTAAAATGCCAGAGATTAGCAGAGGGCACTTTCCTCTGTGTGAAATGCAGAATTTACCTTTGTGTTTCTCTGATTTATCAGAAAAAAAATCTCGAACTTGAAGAATTAATATGACCTACATATATATGTATATGTGTATATGCATATATACATATATGTGTCCTACAGTACCTGTCCAAGTGGACAGCAGTGCTGTATGATGTTTTGGGACAGAAATGTGCAAAGGAGGGTAAAAATTGCTCCTTGTAAAGGTGATATAAATAGGTGCATAAAGAGGTACTTGGGTAAGATGATGGTGGTGCCAGATGTCTGACAGCAGCCACAGAATGCAGCACTATTTCTGTGACTTTGTTGGTGGTCAAAGTCCTGCTCTGACTAAATGCACTTTCTTTTTTAGTGGCCCCCAGCTTTTCTAAACATGTTGTGCCCCAGCAGCAATGTACTTCATTTGTTACACACTCGAAAGCCTCTTATTTATGAAAGCATTACTTGGATTCTCAAACATGTAGGTGCATTAAGTGACATTTTGTTGCTGACTGTGCAACTCTTCTTTTTGTTCATTGATTATAATTGTTCTTGTGTGGCGCTGGATTAAATTAAGACTGAAGTCTCTGGGCTAAAAGCCCTGATAGAACTTTCATGCAAAGGCTGCATTTCTCAACTTTGGCACTTCAGCAGACTGCTCGCCTACAATTATGTACTGTGGATTAAATACCTGCAAACCCATGTCTCTGATGAAGCCAATTCTACAGCAGCTGTGTTTTATTGCAGCCTATTTTAAAAATAATTAGCTTGGGTTTTGACCAAAAAATAACATGGACCAGTCAAATCCGAGACAACTAAACTGTGTCAAGCTCAGTGCTGCTGTGTCAGTTTGGCCAGAGCTCAGACAAAATTCCAGCTCATCCTCAAAGGAGAGGGATTGGCTCTGGGTCTCAGTATACCTTGCTGCAGCTTGAGCCAACAACTTGTGTCTCTTGGTGTCCAAGCATAGCTTGGTGTTTAGAAAGACTGATTAGTGTCTTTTGTAAATCTCCGGGGTCATAACAGTGGTTTCTGAGCTTCAGTGTGAAAAAATCTAGCAGCCTCTAAGACCAGCCTGAAAGTGCAGCCTCTTGAGCAGCTAAAATACAACTTACTGATGGTTATGCCTGCTTAGTGGGTTAGACAATTACAGCTGTGGCTGATGCAACCATACATTGGGAGAACTTCTGCTTTGTGCTTACACAAAAGACTGTTCATGGAAGGAACATTCCCTACAGTAAAGAATCACTGCAGCTCCAAGTACTGGACTCATATGGAGGCCTTTCTCCAACAGTCTGCAATGACAAGACAGGGAACGTTGCATGAGTTATTTTGCTGCCTGTGTATGAGGTGGAATAACATGGGATCTGGCACAACTGTCACCAAACTTTTTCTCGGGCAAAGCCAGCAGGCAAGATGGGAATCATTCGCCGGGTATTGAATTGGACCTCCCCACACAGATAAAGAGGAGAAACCAAAGGTCAGGATCCCTCACCACTTATTTCTGCAGCTGGTCAGCAAATGCTGGAGACATTTGTGAAATGACTGTATGCCCTACAGGAGATCTTAAGGATCTGGGACTAGGATGATCCTAGAGGGAAGGCTCAGTTCCCCTGGGAGTATGCGCAGCTGTGTTGCTCACTAAACTACCTTTTTTCTGCAGTTTTATTCCCTCATGGGGGCATCTGAGCATTTCTGCAGTTTGCTTTATTGTAGTTAAAATTCAGGCTGTCTAGCCTAATGTGGGATATGGGCTGGAGTACAGTCAGGAGAGAAGTGGTTCCCAGTGGTTTTGTATTTCCACTGCAGTCATCCCTAGTTACTGATGTGGCTTGGCCCAGGGGCTCTTGAAGATGGAGTCTAAATTTGCCATCACAATGGGCAGAAAAATGCACAGCAAATTACAGGTCATGACAACTTGGGATTTTGTATTTTACTGGATTCCTCACACTGTTTAGCAATAGAATCCTCTCTGTCTGTGTATTACCTGCATGTTTGTGCCTTCTGAGGGGATAGAGGACAACTTGCACTTGAAGCCAACCCAATGCAGGGAAACTTCTGAACACTTAGGTTGACAAATGTAGACCTCCTGTTTGCTGTAACTTGGTTTCAAGTGGCCATTGCCTGATTCAGAATCCAATGTGTGTGTATGAGTATGTGTAAATAGCATTTTAAGAAGTTGCTGGCAACAAGCGCAAGCTAACCAGGAGTGTGCTATTCCTTCTTCTCTTGCGCACAGTTTGAGAACAGAGAGCTGACTGAAAACTCAATTTGTTTTTCTTTTTGTGAAAAAACAAACACTTTCCAGGTTGAGCATGCACACAAGGCCATAAACCCCTGGGAAGGGGCTGCTGAGGTCAGTGGTTGTGTAAGTGTAGATAGAGGGTGCTCAAAAAAGACATGAGAGCATCCCAGAACCCCAATGCCACATTACAAAACACGGTGGAAAAGGGCCACTCTGAAATCACAGCTGAATGATCTGCTGCTATTTTTTAGTTAAGGTTCCTATTGTGTGCTTCTGTTTTTACCACTGTTAAAATTAAATTCTGCAGCCAAGGCTGAGCACTAGAAATTCTTTCTTCGCTACTTAAAGCATCTTTTTAGAACAACTTTCTTCTGCAGCCTCAGATACAGGATACTTCAGCTACATGGGATAGTAAGTATCAGTTCTCCTCCCTCAGGCCTGACCTTCTAAAAGACTTCCAGCAATGACTAGATGAGATGGTCATGACAGTGTCTGGTGTCAGCTTTTAGTCTGTGAGCATTTTCCTTGGTGCTCTGTTCATGGATAGTAACTGCTGAAAATCTGCATGAAACTGTCCTTAATTCACCCTGCTTGATGCTGCTGCACAGATGGCATCTACAATCATTAGATCAGAGAGCACTGGAGTAGCTAAATGAGACTTCCAAGTTGGGGTCAAAGCCTCAGTCTTCATTCCGGAGGTCCAGCCTTGATACAATCACACTTGGAATAGCCTCCTGGTCTGCAGGATTTTCTACATCCAAAACTTCAGAGTCAGGCTCTGCCTTCTAATCTGAAGACCCACCTGTCCTGTAGGATTGTTTTATTTGTCTTTACAATAGCAGACACTGAGGCTTCCTTGAGGAAGCTGCTGCTTCTGCCTTTTTATGTGCTCATCAACTACTGCTAAGCAGATATAAACCAAAGCTGTTTGTTTTGCTCGGTACAGTGCTCCACTTGTAGAATATTTAGAAGTTGCCTTGAGCTCCATTTAGGGGAATGGGAAGGCGGTGGTTGTATTTAGGCTGCTGTATAAGGGCCTTGGCAGACAAAAAGGATCCTATGTTTTGGTTGTATTGGTTCAGTCAAAAGGGTGTGAGGTGACTGATGAGCCCCTTAATGCAGGCTGGGACAGTGGAAGCAATGTGAGATGGCTCTACTGAGCCTTCCCATTGCTAGGTCTAAGCACTGCCAGCTACCACTGCTTTGAAGTTGGTAGCTGATATCTCCACAAATGTTAAAAAGCTTCATTATCTTGGTCTCAATTGACTCAAGCCACTTTTTTTTCTATCAAAAAGAAATTTACA